ACCACAGATGTACCCTGATCTAGTGATAGATAGATGTCATTTAGGACCCTCAGTAGAGCCGACTCCATGCTATGGCCAGACCTGAACTCTGATTGGAAAACCTCAAACAGATCAGAGTCAGCTAAATGTGAGACCAGCTGCTGATAAACGACTTTCTCCAGCAGTTTAGATGTAAAGGGCAGGGTAGAGATAGGCCTGTAATTTTCCATCACAGACACATCAGCACCAGGTTTCTTCAGGGTCGGCCGAACAACTGCTGCTTTCAAAGCAGCTGGGACCACACCTGTGCTGAGGCTCCCATTGATAATCTGACCAAGTGATGGGCCAAGACACGGAAAGGCAGCCTTCCAGAGACGAGGCGGCAGAACGTCAAGTGGAGAGCCAGGTGGCTTCAGCTCAGAGTATGAAACAGTATTGAGGGAGCTCAGGGTGGGTGGTGATGGAGGAACTGGAACAGGGTCAACAGAGTTACCAGAAATAGCTGCTCTAATAACAAAGAATTTGTGAAAATCTTCAGAGTTTCCAGCAGCTGTAGGAGACATGAAGCTAGGCTCCTGATACACCAGAACAGAGTTCAGTGTTTTGAAGAGAATCCTGGGATTCTTGGAGTTTGTTTCAATGATGTCTGCAAAATAGGCCGTTCTGGCAGCCCTCACAACATCCTGATAAGCAACCAGAGATGCTCTGAACAACTCACGCGAGACCTGTAGGCCATCCTTTTTCCACTTTCTCTCAGAGGATCTACACGCCCACCTACAAGCCCGTGTGACATCAGAGAGCCAAGGCTCCCTCCTAGGCCTGGACTTGCAAAGCTTGAGAGGGGCAACCACGTCCAGGACCTGATTACAAAGTAAATCAAAGTGTTGTGAATAGTGATCAGTGTTAGATGGATCAGGGTTAAAGGTCTCTAACCTTATAGACATACAGTCCACAAACTTTGAAATAGTTTCTGCATCCTGGGCTCTGAACCTAGTAGCTGGAGCTTCACACACAGGGACAGGACATGGCAACGTAACATCACAGAGTATTGGAGAGTGGTCAGAGAACACAGGAGGCAAAGTCACAAGGTTCATGACGGGGAGACCAAAAGAGATAACCAGGTCCAGGGTGTGACCCCTGGCATGAGTTGGGGACGATACCCATTGAGTTAGATTGAATGAATCTAGCAAATTAAAAAAACCTTTAGCAAGCACATTGTCAGGACAGCAGATATGGATGTTAACATCACCAAAAAATAGGACATAGTCATATTTTAGGATGCAGTCTGCCACAAGATCACAGAAATCATTAAGGAAGTTCGAGTCAGTCTTTGGAGGGCGATAAATCAGCACAACGAGCAGGCGGGGGGAGATGCACAGTTCAAATAAGCACAGTTCAAAAGAAGAAAATGACATGGTGGGTGTGAGCTGTTTACAAGGAAAGCTGGATTTAAAAACAACAACCAGCCCTCCACCTCTGCCCCACGATCTGGGGATATTAAAACAGGAGCGGCCAGGTGGTACCAGCTCCAGCAGGGCGCTTGAGTCACCAAATGGGATCCAGGACTCACAGATGCACAGAAAACTCAAGTCATGCTGAATAAAAAAATCCCGAAAAACAAAAGTTTTGTTCAGCACAGACCTGGCATTGACCAGACCAAACTGGGTCTGCAGCACCAGGATCGCGCACGGGCACAGTCTCCTTTAACTCTGAGCCCATAACCGAGCACAGATTCTCCCAGCAAACGCTCTGGCGAGATCCTCGAGCCGATTGGCTGTGGCGCGATGCCAGCTCACCCTCAAAGCCAGCCAAGTTTACTAGGCAGGGCACAGAGTGATCCATCAGACGTCTCGGAACCACCGGGTCAGACGCTGGGCCGAATCGGACCAGCCGCTTCTTCAGGGATCCAGGAAGTCCAGCCCGACGTCTCACGCGCCGGCTACCTCTCTTTCCCCGTCTTCTCCGATGCTTCCTTCTCGAGCTGGGGCGGACAGAGGGCCGACACATCACGGCTTGGGGGGAGAGAGCACACGGGCAGTCCAAACAGCAGCGCCATCCGTGAGGTTCCCAGCGCGCAGTGCCTGCTACATCAACAGGAGAACGAAGCCTCAGCAGTGCAGCTCGATCATAAGTCACCAGAGAAGCCACACCATTCAAAAAAAGCATCAGAGACAACAAAAATACATAAAAGCCAATAAAAGCCAATAAAACGCAAGGTTCCTTTGCGTAAAGAGGACGAGCAGCTCTCTGTGCGCACCCGCGCGAGCGCCATCATGTTGTGAATGTTTTAGACTGAGATTTATTGTGGACAGCAATTACTGTAAATTTTGTTAAATAATAGTTTGTTTCAAAGTTATTAAAGGGATACTTTTAAATCGTTTTCTTGAGCCAGTGTTTGCTAAAATGACCCTTTTCAACAGAGCTATTCAATTCCGGTCCTGGAAGGCCAGTATCCATCCCGTTTTAGTGTTTTCTCTGCTCCAACCACTTGATTCAGTGGTTGAATCACCTGTGCAGCAGTCTTATCAGGCTCTGCAGAAGCCTGTTAATCACCTATTAATTGAAATCAGGTGTGCTGAAGCAGAGTTAAAACCAAAACGTGCTGGATACCGGCCCTCAAAGCCTGGTGTTGAATAGCCCTGCTTCACAGGGTCAATGAAATGTCACTCAGACCCCCACCGCCCCCTGTGGCCAGAATACCACATTTGCAACTTCAGACTGGCAGGCCAATGTTGGACATAGAAAAGAATGGACCTGACATACCTGGCCCTGCAGTCTGGATCCAGCACGCTTCCTGGAGGTTCTAGGTCATGAACACAGTTGATTTGTTTGATTTAGTGATGAACCGATTCTGTAGAAACTAATGACAGCTGGGAGACGTTTCAGCGGTTAGATTAAGGTGTTAAAAGACAAATGCACAGCGAAGAGAGGTTTCATTTTTGATTGCAGAAAATTCATATTGGACACTAGGGGGTGCTAAAAGCAAGCAAAACTGTCACGTGCCTTCAATAACAATGTTTTAAAAAGTAGCCCAAACAGCGATGGCCATCACAGCACACTTGTGTCCTACTACACACTCGAAGCCTTACTGTGCATCTCCTCTAAGTGCACTTCACAGAAAGGCCTCGGGCGCAGTGCGAGTGTTGGGACTGGGCCTGTGAGGGGTCCTGAATAACCGGAGCCGCCATGTTAAACACAAACCAGTTCAGACCAGAGTAATCAGTAAAACCTCACGTGGCCAAGGTTGGTTATTATGAATTAATATAAATATTTATGAAACAGTTAAACAATAAATGAGCTCTTTTTGCACTGAGAAATTAGCTTGCAAAAAAATTTTAAACTTTAAACATCCCCAAAATTTGAAGGAATAAAAACTGAAAAAAGATTTCCGTGAAGGTGTTCAAGCCTAATTTAGCTGTTCTTTAGTTTTGCATCCAGTTTCATTAAACTCTTCATGACCTTCACCTTTTCATAGACATCCCCAACAAACACACACCAGTCTGCATCAGCCTGCTCACAAAGAGCCCTTTATGCTCACATGCTAAAGATTGCACTTGGGATGGGCTCTCGCTAATGGAACTGCTTTGAAGTATCTCCAGAGCAACGGGAGAAAAATCATCACGGCTCAAAGTGGAATCACAATGTTTTGTTTACTGCGTGGAGGATGACAGATGAGGCCACCAACTTATCTAATGATGGTCGGTTTTGCTTTGATATCCGTAATGCATTTGAATGCGTTAGCTGCATCAACAAAGGATGAAAAAGTAAAAATAAATGTAGCAAGCATAAACATTGTTAGGATGCATGCAGAAAATGACCTGCTTTGTTTTCCCATTTGGATACTTTTTTCACTTGGCAGCCTGCTTTAGATGTGATGATATACATTTGGTGTGCAGATATCAAAGCCTGCGCCTTGTAAACCTGTTAATGCCTTTTTGCATTGTATCAATTCTCTTTAGAATGTTCTGTCAGATGTTTATTTGGGATTTTTAGCTAACAAAGTGCTGCTAAGGCTTGGAGGCATCACTAGGAAATGAATCCATGCTCCAAAGCAAGAAGATCAGGGAGCAAAAGTTGTAGAGAATCAAGGTATATTAATTATATCATGTAGATTTATACAAAAAAAGAGGCCATAACTGTATGTGGGATCGTCACGAATGTAGGCCGTTGTTCTTGTAAGATGATTTATTAAGGAAAACAATCAGGAATGTGTACCAGCTGAGGATCAGTATCAGAAGGGTTTATTGCCATTTGAGCAAAAAAATCATAACATTAGGAAATTGCTGCGGTGCAAAAAAGAAAGAAAAGGCAAATATTGTCATGAGCTGAACTCAGAAGACCCGTAATGACGCCAAACACAGTTAAAGTATATTAAAAAAGTCTTATTTTTGGTGGAGTTACCAGATGGGCGAGGCTGGAGACAGAGTCGGAGGGCAGGCGTGAGTCAAAACCAGATCGATCCGTGAATGCTACAAAGAGCAGGCAGGAGGCAGAATCCAGAGAATGGGCTGAGGTCGAGAATCCAGGTAGTCAGAGGCAGAGAAAACAATCCAGGCAGGGAGCAGGCACTTGGGTTGGTCAAGGAACAGAAACGAGGTCGGGATCTATGGTACAGGCAGAGGTTGGAGTGCTGGAGAATTTACTGGCGCAAAGTCTTCAATAATCTGGCAGAGACTGGGTAGCTGAATGGATCTTTTATAGCAGGGGAAGCAGGTGTGTGAGATGAGCTGAGGAGTCAGGAGCAGGTGAAGTGGATGAAGCTGATTACAGGAACAGGTGAGATGAATGGAGTTGATGGTGGTTGCCAGGGAAACAGGGCTTGTCAGGAGCTTGGTGAGGGGACCAGGTGAGCTGAATGAAGGCTGAAAAATGAGAGTCATGACAAATATAGGAAGTAAGAAGTTAGTGGATTTAATTATAACTGATTTTCTGATGACAATAATGCACATTCTGTGTAGTTTCTATTGATTTATTGAGGCAATAATGCACAATGATGAGAAATCAGAATGCTCTACTTCAATTTTTTTCATCAGGAATTCCTCAGGCGTGAACAAGAAGGCAGGTCAAGTTACTGTTGAAAAGAATCTTTCCATCTTTCTCAGTGCTGCACTTGGTCCTGAGAAGGTCCCAAATTCCCGCTCTGACCTCCGGGGAGAAAGATTGGCTGAAGTGACTCGTTCCCGTCATGACACTCAGCAGGTGCTCGCCAGGTTTGCTGCTCGGGTGAAAACACTTGGTGATGTCGAAGCTGTTGGGGATGGAATGTTCCTGAGGCCCAGGTTCTTCAGGGAGGCAACAACCTCTCCCGATGAGCGATACTCGGTGATGTAGTCGACGCATAGCTGTTTAGCGCACGTCTTCCACAGGATGTCTGAGCCGCTGGACCCTGGCTGGAGGGGGAAAAAACTATCAACCTTCAACATGGTTCTTCTTTTGATGGTTGTGTTTCAGGTAAAGGAGTTCTTACCTGCTTCAAGGATGATCATGAGCCAACTGCTTGGTTTCAGAAGGCCGTGAAAAAACTTGATAGTGTCAGCCAAACTATCCACATAGTGGATCATCTGTTACACAGAACGTTTGAACATCTGATATAAAGCCTTGACTGAAGTGCATTTAGAGTTAAATAGTTGTTAAAGTAACAACAAGCTTTCCTCTGGCTGACAATAAAACAAAGACGTTGAAGGGGACATATTAGGAGTTTTTCCTCAGTTACAATAGTTCTATGGTCGACACAAAACATGTTTGTGAAGTTCTTTGTGTATAATCCCTCTCACATAAAGCTATTTCTGTTGCTTTGTTGACATTTTAGTACCTTCCAAAATGAGCCATTTCAGGGCTCTGTCACTTTAAGAGAATAAGCTGGGACTGGCCACGCCCATCTTTCCCCAACTTAGGCTGCTATAAGCTGAGAAGCTCCGATATCTGGAAGGGCCTCGGACCTCTTGCACTTGACAGGTGGTTCAGTAAGAATTCTCCCACTAGTGACATCACAAAAAGGGGCTTTTTGAAATGGCTTGTTTGAGGCACATAAAAACTAAAAACAAACACTGTCATAAAATGGATGGATGGATTTTCTTCACATGTGGAGTGTCTCAAGAGTCCATCCTGATGTAGCAGGGTGATCGTTTGCAGCTGGGGGATGCTGCTTAACCAATCACCTGTAGAGGGCGCCCTGTTATAAGGACAGGGGTTGGTTCCCACGGTGATTGCCTCTCACTAAACGGGCATTTACTTCCGGGGTGTTGAGCCGGTTGTGTATGTAGCAGGGCTCGGAACATTGGTTACGTATTGTAACCCCAGATTCTATGAGTCTAGTCGCAGCCCTTAAGCTAGCTGCTATTGGAAGGATGATCTCCGCATGAGCCAATCATGAACAGCTTAAATGTACGCCCACCAATAGTGGGCCCCCTCGTGGTATATAACCGCAGTGACCCCACTGCTCACCTCCAATGGCTCTTATTCCCATCATAACCAGTGGGGCCAGTGGCTTAAGGGCTGCGACTAGACTCATAGAATCTGGGGTTACAATACGTAACCAACGTTCTATTTCGTCTAGTCTTAGCCCTTAAGCTAGCTGCTATTGGAATAAAGCACAGCTGGATGGGTTTACGCCCCACTGGTTAACACAACCAATGGACACACCCAATCAAATCTCCTCTAGTGGGGGACGTTCAGCCTCAGACCAGGCCTAAAGACTGAGGCAGGCACGATAAGAGAGGGGCCCCCACTAAAAAACATCATCCACAAGAGGATAAAATCCATCTCAGCAAGGCCAATGAGGTGCCATAAGCATTCATTTAGCCTGCTGGGGTCCAAGCACTGAACGAGTGATGGAACCTGAAGACACATCTCGTAAATAATAACGAGTAAAGGAACAGGGTGAAGCCCATGAAGCAGCCTGACAAATGTCTTCCATTGACACACCACTGAGGAGCGCCATCGAAGAGGAAATCCCTCTGGCCGAGTGAGCCCTGAGTGCCTCAGGGGGATTCCGCCCTGAAGATGTGTAAGCGAGGGAAATGGCGTCACACAGCCAGCGTGAAAGGCGCTGGGCCGACAGCGCCTGACCAAGGGAAGACTCCCTGTAGTGCACAAACAGGTTTTGTGAGCGACGAATCCCTGAAGTGCGTGACACATATCGTGCAAGCGCGCGCACCGGGCAGAGAAGGTGAGAAGCCGCCTACTCCTCAGAATTATGGGGAGGAGGAAAAAGTCCAGCCAATGAAATTGACCTGGATTTGAAGGAAGCATTAATGCTTTTGGGCACAAAGGCTGGGTTGGGCATAAAACAGCAGACCCGCCATCCTCCCGGATCCTGAGGCATGCGGGAAGCCACTGAGAGGGCGGTTAGGTCACTCACTCTCTTAACTGATGCTAGCGCCAGCAGCAATGCAGTTTTAAGCGACAGGAACTTGAGTGGGACCTGGTCCAAGGGTTCAAATGGAGCTTCAGATAAGCCGTGCAGAACCACCGTTAGATCCCATTGGGGAAAAAGCGGGCGGGACACAGGTCTGTTCCTTCTGACACCTTTTAGAAAACGTTTTGTGAGGGGATGATTGAAAACAGATCTATCTCCAAAACCCTGATGACATGATGAGATAGCTGCAGCATATGTCTTAACAGTGCTGAATGAGAGGCCCCTGACCATCAGTATCTGCAAAAACGATAGAACATCCGCCAGCTGGCAGGAGAGCGCTTGAACATTCCGTTCTGCGCACCAGTTCTGGAAAGCTGCCCATTTAGCAGCGTAAGAGGCAATGGTAGAGGGCGCCCGCGCACTCTGAATCGTGGCCACCACATCATGCGGCAGCCCAGAAGCCTCTAAGCGTGACTGCTCAGCGGCCAGACCCACAGCTGTTGGCCTATTTCCGGAGGATGTTTGATTATCCCATCCGCCTGGAGAAGGGCGTCCGCCCTCCACGGGGAGCCGGACACTAGCGCTTGCAGGTCCGGAAACCATGACGCGGACACGCGCCTGGGAGCCACCAGAATCACCGAGAGCTGTTCCGACCGAATTCGGTCCAGGAGACGGGGAATCAGAGGGACTGGTGGAAACGCGTAAAGGAGCGTTCGAGGCCAGGGCTGGTGTGAGAAGGCGTCCGCCCCGAGCGGGGGTCCGTCCCGGGGACTCAGGGAAAACCACAGGCGACACTGAGCGTTTTCGCGAGCCGTGAACAGATCCACAGACGGTTCCCCGAACCTGATCCAGATCTGTGATATCAGTGCAGGATGTAGACGCCTGTCGGAGTCGCGGGGTCCCCCTCTCGACAGGATGTCTGCCGCTACATTCAGTACCCCCGGAATGTAGATGGCTCTGATGGACAGCAGGTGGACATGTGTCCAACACAGTAAATCTGTGGCGACACGCAACAGTGGGAGGGATCGAACTCCCCCTTGGCGATTTATGTAGGCTGCCGCCACCTGGTTGTCTGTGTGAACTTCGACATGACGGCCCTCGAGAAGGGCAGCGAAGTGTCTGATCACATTCCTCACTGTCATAAGCTCCAACACATTTATGTGCTCGTGCATGTGGGAGGGCCAGCGATCTGCCACCGTGTGGGACAAGCACGTACCCCCCCACCCCGACAGTGACGCATCCGTAAACACAGATACGTGTGACGCAGGACGTCCGATGGGAACCCCGCGTGAGAGGATGCAGGGGTTCCCCCAGTGAGCGAGGTCCCCGCCCACTGAAGGGGGAATCCTCAACATACGTCTCTTCTGACGTATTGGGTGTACCCGGAGGCGGACGAACCAGCGTTGCAAGCGCCTCGTGCGCAGCAAACCTAGCGGCACTACTGAATGGGCTGCGGACATCATGCCCAGGAGTTTCATGACTAACCGGGCTCTCACGATCTTGCGGGGTTGAACACGGGAGATCACCGTGGAGAGATCTGCCGCTCTTGCAGGCGACAAACGTGCTCTCATTAGGGAGGCGTCCAACTCCACCCCGAGATACACAATCGACTGGGATGGAAGGATGGAGCTCTTTTCCCAGTTTATAGAAAACCCTAGGGTTGACAGATGCTCTGTCAACCTCCTGGTTTGCTGTGACGCCTCGTCCTCGGACCGAGCGCACAGGAGAAGATCGTCCAGGTAAAATAAGACCCTCATTCCCTCCGTGCGCAGTGGCTGCAGCGCGGTCTCCAGACATTTGGAGAAAGTGCGCGGGGCTAGCGAGTAGCCGAAAGGGAGGCGATTGAACTGATATTGAACTCCCTTGAACGAAAAACGCAGAAACTTCCGGTGGTTTGGAACTACTGGTATGTGGAAGTATGCGTCTTTCAGGTCGATTGACGTGAACCAATCCCCGGGGCGCACATATTCCAGGACTTGTCTCATCGTTAACATGCGGAAATGCATTACTGCTATGGAGCAGTTGAACAGGGACAGGTCGAGAATCGGCCTCATTCCTCCCGACTTCTTCGGTACTACGAAGTAACGGGAGTAGAAACCCGAGAGTTCTTGTCCGCGAGGGACTCGGGAAATAGCGTCTTTGGACAGAAGTTCCCGCAGCTCCAGCTCTAGCGCCTGAGACTGTACTTGCGATGTGAACGTCGTCTCCACGATCCCGTTGAAGGGAGGTGGAGTGGCCTGAAAATGAAGTGTGTGACCGCAATGAATGGTGTCCGAAATCCATTTGCTCATGATGCAAAGGCGGCGCCACTCGTGCGCGCGTTCCGACAATGGACGCGTGTGCGCGGTCACGTGAACAACGTCTGAGGGTTGTGCATGCGCCCTTACCGCCGTCGCCCGTACCAGAGAACTGGGGGCGACCCATGGAGGGCTGCGCTCGAAAGGGCAAGTGCGAAACAGCTGGAACAGGCTGGTCCACACCGCGGAGCGTGGAGTCCGAGAGTGAAGGACGAGTGGGAGCCGGGCCTGTGCACGGGGGCGACAGAGTGCTAGCGGATGGAGCCGCCCACTGTGCCGCCGCGCGTGGTCGAGACAGCGACATGACATCCCGCCCCACCCAACGGCGTGGGGAGAGCGGGACGAGTTGGGCCTGACCGGATGCTGGGGCCAGAGCGCAAATGGAGCGCACCCTTACGGCTGGCCGTGTATTACGACTACCTGCAGGAACATGTGTGCGTGCAGCAGTGCTTGGTGTGGGGAACATGTGTGAAAACTCGGCAGAGGATTCTGTGGAGGACTGTAGGATTGAGCTCTTGAGTGACGTTTTTTGGGTTTTATTTCAAAACCAACAACATCAGAACAATCAGTAACACACACATTCCCCCCAAAGAGTCACTTCCGTGGCTGCTTTCGGCGAGGCTCCTGCACCTGGGACTGCCAAGACGGCGTCTGCTGGCCCCGCCGGAACCGTTGCCCGCCATCTCGCTGGTCCCGCTGATGTGGAGCCGAAGCGGGAGGCCGGCTCCGTGGAGCGGGCGGTGCAGCTGGACATCTGAAGCTTCCGCGCCGTTCGTCCCATCCTCTGGCTGAACGGCCGGAGTGCGAGGCTGACCGAGGGTGGACCAGGTCTCGCACCGTAGCCGATAGTTCGGCCGTCTTCTGAGCCCTCTCAATGACGCCCCTAAGATGGGGACCAAACAGAACATCGGTGGTGATGGGGCCATCCAGCATCTCCCTTTGCAGATGTTCCGGAATGGAGGGCAGGGCCTTCAGCCAGATCGCTCGCTGGATGAGGGTCTGCCAGGCAGCGATGCGAGCAGAACCGGTGAGCACAGCAGCACACAGATTGAGGATGGCATCAGCAGTCTTAGTTATGACGGCTTTCGACTCCTCGGGAGCTTCCAGCTCCTCCATCATCTTGGAGACGCCGAAGGCAAGAAGGGCGATGTTATTCCCTGCAGCGCCGGTCTGAAAGGCACACTGATGTGCGCGGTCGGTGAGCCGCGTCAGCAGCTGGTCATGTTTTGAAGCGGGAACAGCTCGCGGGCCAGCGAGGTGGTGCTTGGCGCCGAACAGCGAGGCCAAATCCGGCTCTAGTGGAGGAACGGACGGCCAGCCTTGGTCGGAAAACCCCTCGACCTTGGTGATGGGCGCATATGTGGAGACTGGCGCCTTGAGCTTGGCAGGCTCGGAGAAGGCGGCAGACCAGCAGCTCATAGCAGCGGGGAAGCGCGGCCAGACAGGGTCTGGACAGCGTGTCTGAGTTGCCCCGAAAATTCCCGCCAAATCATCCGCTTCAGGCAGGGCTGGTTCTGGCACAGCTAGCCCCTTGCGGGCTGCTGACGCAGAAATGATGGCGGGCAGCTCCTGGAGCAGTGCTCTTACTGCTGGCAGGGAGGAGCGAGAAGCCACTGGGGCAGAAGGACCCGCTGAGCGAAGCTCGTCGACCTCCGTTATGTCTAGGAGGGACGCCGCCTCATTGTAGTTTTCGCTGTCAGTGACGTCATCCAGCCGGTTGAAGCCAGCCGGCTCCTGACCGGCGTCGAAGAAAACCAAAGCCTTGTCCAGCGGGTAGAAGTCAGCCACCGGAAATTCTTCGTCGGCGGCGGGAGTGAAGTACTCGACCCGGCGAATCTTCTCCGCCACGGGCAGAGCGGCACAGAACGGGCACGAGGCCTGCGGGGTCAAGGCCAGGCCAGCGTGGTGAGCCCCGAGACAGACCTCACACTTAGCGTGCAGGTCGCCGCTGGAAATGGAGCCCGTCTGGCAGGGTCTGGTGTCGCTGGACATGGCTGGTAATTTGTCTTCGGATAATTTGCTCTTTTGAGATAATATTTGCTCTTTAATAAAGCTCTCAAGCTTGGCATGAAGAGAAAAAGGAGGTGAGCAGTGGGGTCACTGCGGTTATATACCACGAGGGGGCCCACTATTGGTGGGCGTACATTTAAGCTCTTCATGATTGGCTGATGCGGAGATCATCCTTCCAATAGCAGCTAGCTTAAGGGCTAAGACTAGACGAAATAGAACTCTCAGCGCAAACTGTAAGTAAAAGGATCCCTTCGGCGATGGCAGCTTAGGAGTCTGTGTTGATCATATTAGTCTAGTGGTGGCTGGTGTGTGACCGATCAGCTCTGGGACTTACCAGTGTTTCGCCGGCTAAGGTGGGCAAACTAACGCCTAAGGTATGTACCCTGCCCTTTTCACCATTCAGCTGCTCATTTTAATTAGCTTTGACTCATTTTAGAGTCTGCACCTCCACAGACTCTGCTGTTTCGCTTCTCCCCGGCTCCCACGAGTAGAGGACACGAGTTCCCGGTATCGCCCGGCGTGCGGGTGCTTGGATGTGACAGCGGCTGGTCCCGCTTGACCTATACCAGATCGGGTCCACGGCCACCAACGACATCGCCTCCTAGGCTAGGCTGTAGTGGAACTCAACTCTGGTCCAGGAAGGACCACCTCTCCGGTGTCCGCAGCAGCAGGAACTTTCGAGCTGTTTAGCAGCTCTTTGCTGTGCGTGGCGCACGTCTGGCATGCATCTGAGCGAGACTGATTGCTCTTTTAAAATAAATTATTTTGCTTTATTTTTATTTATTTTAGACAGCCTGCAACTCCTGGCTGGTGACCTAGCAGGCTGTCCATCTTTTTAACAGTTTTTGTTTTTAACAGTTTCTTTTTTTTATTGCAGGCTGCTTGCTCCCAGTGGGCACGATCGGCCTTGGTGGTGGGAGTTTTCCACGTGTGAGTGTGTGTGTTATTTCATCGTGCATCTCCTGGATGCACGGCACTGTGATGGGTGACTTTAGTTTTTTTTTGGTTGGTCGAATTGGACCCTGTAAGCTTCAGCCTGTTCAGATTAATTTAGTATCTTTTCTTTCTCTTTTATATTTTAATAAAAGCATGCCATTGGTCAGACCACGTCTCCTGCCTGATTGGACCTGTGTGTCCTTATTTCCTGGGGTGCAACTCCCCAGGTGGCGTTGTGTGTTACTGGCAACTACAACCAACCCCGGATGCCACACTGACATGACGGCATCCGCTCCATCCATGAGGAGAATGTCCTGTTCCACCACTTCCCAAAGGTTCTGGGTTGTACTGAGATCTGGAGACCGTGGAGGCCGTTGGAGCCAGGTGAACTCTTGGTCATGTTCTAGAAACCAGTTAGAGATGATCTGAGCTTTGTGACATGGTGCATGAACCTGCTGGTATTAGCCAACAGAAGATGGTTCCATGTGCTCAAAGAGATACACATGGTCAGCAAAAAATCTCTGGTAGGCTGTGGTGTTTAAACCAGAATCCGGTGGTGCTAAGGGACCAAGAACACCCACCACCACCAACACCATGTTGAAGCACTGGTAAAAGGAAGGATGGATCCATGCTTTTGTGTTGGTGAAACCAAATCGTGAGCCAGTTCTGGTGATCCTGTGGGGACTGTAGCCATAGCCTGATCCCAGCTGACAGGAGTGACACCTGATGTAGTCTTCTCCAGCTGGAGTCCATCTGAAGCAGCTGTTGTGCTTCAGAGATGTCATTCTGCAGACCTTTATAGGAGCCAGAGTTTATTCAGATTCGGATTTCAGATTTATTGGCCAAGTAAAATTACATTTTCAAGGAATTTGTCTTCGGTAGATGTTCGCTCTCTAAAACATACAACAACCACAATAAATGAGAATAAAAATACCTAAAAACACATAAGAACATGTATACCCACACACATGTTCATTTACACACACACCTATATACATATATACATACCCACACACACACACACACACACACACACACACACACACACACACACACACACACAGTACAGTAGCTTATCTAAGCTACTGTAATCTAGAACCAGTCTGTGAGTCAGTAAGTAAACTGGCTTATTGACAATAAATCTGATTATGAAAATCCCAGAAAATCAGCAAGTTCTGAAATTCACAAAACAACCTGTCAAGTTTAATGTCATTTAAATCCCCCTTTTCCATCAAACAGCTCAGTTTCAGCACGTCGCCTCAGGGGCGGATCTGATTGTTCTGAGTACGGGGTCCCTGAGGGGCCATAATATTTATAAGGGGGGGTCAAGTATTAGCCCAACATCCTTACACACACTGGAAATTCCTATTTGGCTCATTAGCACCACCAGTGTTTGGACTTTGAATTACAACCACACGCCATTTGATCACTGCACAAAGGACAGATGTGACAGAACAGGGGCACTTCAGGCAGCCAATCAAATTTCAGATACAGATTATCCCCAGGGGCACCGCTCCTAGAACAGCCGAGGAGTCATCTTAACCTTCATGCCTAACCTTCGAGCTGCTACCGTTCAAGAAACTGAACTGACCACTAAGTTTGTTCCTCTCACCACTTACGTACGTTTTGCATTAAGAGCTAAAAGTCAAGCTGGTTTAAAGTGCTTATGAATGATGATGATGATGATGATGATGCACACCTTTGAAGTTGTCTGTGAGCTCCAAGCTGCCCTCCACAATGTCAGCTGTTACGGGAACAGCAGGGAATGCCGACTGCAGCAGGGAGAGCATCTGGACATCTATCTGACCTGGAGGAGGCAATTCCGCTAAAACATTTTTAAATTATATCTTTTAAATCCCGCTTTATTTCTTTATGACATCACATTAGCAATAGCTCAGAGCCTATTGTTGTTCTTCATTTCAGGTCCTTTCCAGTTCTTCAATAAAACAGTAATATTTGTAGCAGCTACTCAACCCAGTTGGGAAGTCGTGCTGCTTAAACTCTTTCTGCTGGTACTTCTGGAGCTTATTAACATCTGTTATGATGAGCCATCATGCCGATGGGGGAGCTGTTTACGTGCAAGAGCAGCTGACTGGATTTTCCAAAGCCCAATTAATCCTGAGAATAAAACTCCAAATCCCTGACAAATTAAACAGGAGACAAAGAAGCTGGGAGCAAATGGTGACGAGCAAAGAAGGCAAAGATGTTACGAAGACAAAGCTTAAATATCAGAATGTGAAATTAAATGTTTTACAGAAACATGGCTTCCTGGATGCGTAACAGATGTTCTTAAAATCACCAGTTTAATCTGCCATCATTTAGGATGATTCATCCAGTTTATGATCATGTTGTTGCTGACTTTACTGTAGATTAGTCAAACACTCACTTACCTCCTCCATCTCCAACACCAAGAACATCCAGGCTGGTTTGACCTGCTCCAATCCTGCAAGTGAGGAAAACTCGCTAACACACGAATGCTAAACAAAAGAATAAAATTGTACCGCTGCTCTCGCTCAGACTTTTGTAAATCTTTAAATTTCTCAAAATTGACATTTTCTCTCTTGAAGGGTCAGTGCGAGGTGTGATGGGAAAAAATCTAAGAAATATCAACGTCAGAGAAAGAATCATGAATAGCATGTTTTGTAATTGTTCCCCCCCACCCCCCACCCCCCCACCCACACCCAACCCGGCTATTCCCTGCAGAAAACAAATATTCCCCCCTTATTTGTCCCATACCTTTTGAATTCCCCAGGCAAGACATCGTGGACGAACTTGGGAATTTCCCCGTGCTCGTTTGACTTTTCCAGATAAAAGTGGAAGTCACTCACACCACAGCCCTCGTAGCACGTGCTCTTCACTGTTTCAGCCATGACTGGTCCCGGCAATCCATTTGCACAAAAGCAAATCATTTATTTACCACAGTGGTGACAAAAAACCTTCCTTCAGAGGCACAGAAGGTAAAACGTTCCATGCCGACGGCGAAACTGTAGCTACAAAACAAAACAGGTAAACAAAAACTGTTTCTGTGTTTAAAAAGAACAAAAGCATGGAATTAGAACCACGACACAGCAAGAACACACCTAAGAGGTAAAACGTGAACCTGGAGGAGGTGGATTTGAAGTGTGGAGACTGGGAAGCTACAAGCTGCCCTTCACAGGCACCGTTTTACTCACTAATTCCTTGTTATGTAACTCTGACCTTGACTGATTCACCAGAAGCAGCTGCAGTCGTGCTCTCAATCTAACATGTGCACTGGATCCGTTTTCCTGCTTCTAAAGTGGCTTAGTTCCTTGTTTTGGAAACATTATTATTGTTGTATTTGTTGAGGTTTATTCATAATTGATCGTTTTCATCTAAATACTTTCTTTTCTAGATGCATTCAGTTGTTTGTCTTCTGTACGGCTGAGACACAAAGAGACAAAAAACACAATAAGTCAAATAAAACAAGCTGAAAACTTTATTTTCCAATCCAGTTTTTTTCTAATGTTTTGCTTGTAGTAACTCACATTGCCCACTAGGTGACACAAAAACTCCATACAGCAGGACAAAAATTCACAAAGCTCAAATTATATTTGTTAAATGGTTCCCCAAACAGACCCACCAAGGGAAAAACACAGCACTTAAGTGGAGCACAGCACAATATTCTGGAAGGAAAGGGAAATTAGGAATAATCTGGTCTCATCCAGAAAGTAGCCAGTTTCAAACTATTTGACTACCTCCTTGGTTTGTCACAGACATGCATTATTTTTCTTTTCAACTGAGAAAAACTATTTTTAAAAATGAACTCATTTCTATTATTTAGCTTTTATAAGCAGTGATTCCGTTGCTGTCATTACCTGATTCTTTGCGGCAGCTTCCGTGCTGTTCTGCTAACATCTGAACAAGTTCATTTGTAATTTTGTGCACAGCAAGGCAGTACAGATAAGAGAAAAACCTACACTTGACCCAAATGTGCAGTCGTGGTAAGAAAGATAGCTAGAAGCTGCCTTTTACAAGACAATGTGTAGCACTTGGTCTGCCTTGTAGAGTTGGTTTTTTAGTGTTAAGCCATTTAAATGTGTTGACAATTCAGCAAAATGTCCAGATTTTCTGAGTTTTCAGTCACTGACCTAAAGTTTAACCTTCCCCAGCTGAAACCTGAATCCGCTTCTCAGTTTTTAATTTACCACTTCAAGCTCCTGCAGACCTAAATATTACCTTCAAGGGCTTTAACATGTAATGTGTAATTAATTATCTCCAGCTTTTCTAAAGTGAGCCCCAGTAATAAGTTCATAGTCCAATTTCCACTGAAAGCAGGGGTTTAGCTAACTAGCCAATAGCGTACTTTACAGTTGACATCATTAGGTGTTATAATTCTGCTGCTATAAACGTGTTTAGGTTGGTTCATCAATAACGATGGCTTCGAGGTTGTAGATGAAAACAACTCTGTCCTCGGACCGGGAGCTGCAGTCCGGGTGCCGCAGCAGCTCCAACACACCGGCTTTCAGCTCCGGCGAGGCGGTTTTACTAAAGTCCAGCACCTCGGTGAGGAAATCAAGAAGCAGCTCTCCCTTCTCATCTCCCTCAGTGAAACACTCGGTGATATCCATGTGAGAGGGCAGGTCAAAGCTCTGGTAGCTCACTCCCTTGGAGTCCAGGAAGCATCTGATGTCTCTTGTGGTTACACAATAACTTATTCCTGTGCTGCACAACTGGTTCCTGTATTTCTGGCACAGTTTCCCCCAGCCACCCTTATCTAGGAACAGACACCACAAAAAGGTAAACAGATTATAATAGTGCAAGCATGCCATCATCATCATCATCATCCTCACGGCTCTTGCGAGGGGTCGGGGGTCATCCCGCTCCGGTGCGTTGAGCCTACCAAATGAACCAGTTCTTTCCATTTCTGCCTGGTGGTCATGTGCCAGCTGTTCTTCCTTTGCCAGTTGCACTTTGCAAGCATGTTACTGGAATAAATTACTGTAGATTTTTGAGATTCTGCCTCATAATATTAGAGGCCTGCAGTTTCAGTGAGCTGTTGTCATGTCTGAGTAATGGAACTTCACATTCAGCAAAAAACATTCCTCTCTCCTATTCAAATCCACAGCTTGTGGCCATAGAAGAAGGTTGAAACGTAAATGGATCTGTAAATTAAGAGCTCTGCCTTTCAGCTACGCTCTCTCTCCTCTCCAGAACACCCGAACAGCCCTTACCAGGAAAGCTCAGGAGTAATGCTGCCACCTGTAGTTGGAACACACCATTCGGCCCCCCGAATTCAAACAGGGAGCTCGCCACCCCAATCTGCCTATCCAGTGCCTCCAATGTCTACGTGATTCTGCAAAGCCACTTCAGTCCACACAGCCTCACAATATTCAGAGGCTTCCGGGTAAATCTCACCCATTGCCGGGGCTTTTCCACCATGGAGCTTTTGACCACCTTGGTGACCTCAACACCAGAGATTGGAGAGCCAGACCCAAAGTCCCCAGACTCTTTCTCACTAGAAGACTGGCTGGGTGGGATTGAGGAGGTCTGCCCACTAACCCACAACATCCCGAGCTGAGGTCAGCAGTACACTGTTCCCACTATAAACAGTGTTGGCAGTGCACCACTTCCCCCTCCTGGGACGCCAGGTGGTGGAGAAAAATCTCCTCAAAGCCATATGAAAGTGCTTCTCCATGGTCTCAAACTCCTCCCATGCCCGGGTTTTTACCTCGTCAGTCAACCAAGACGCATTTAGCTCGGACTACTAGTACCCATTCGGCTTCTTTTGGGGTCCCACGTGCAAAAAAAGACTTGATAGGTTTCCTTCTTCAGCTAGAGAGCATCCCTGCCAGTGGTGTCAACCAGCAGGTTTGGGGTTACCCCTCTTGAGGGAACTGGTTTTGGAGCCAGAATCGTGGGCAGATGAGAGTCTAAATAGCCAGAACTGCTACATTACAGACCAGTTCAGGCTATTTCTCTGCCCAAAAACCATTTGTTTATTTGCAATTACATCAATCAACTCACCAGACACTAGAGTTATAATAAGTTTCCCGTTCTTATCGAGAAGACTCTGGAAGAAGCTGATGGTGGCGCCGAGATCCTTCACATAGTACAGCATCTGTCGATTTCACCACAAAATGAGTTGGTAGCTGCATTCACAGAGCACCTTATGACGCCTACTGCACACTGGAAGCAAAGGCGGCGCGGAACGGCAGCGGAAAGGTTTACTCGCAACAATCACAGAACTCAAGTGCACACCGGGAGAGTCTCGGCAGCAAAGCGGCATCTCTGCCGTGCTCCTCGCTCGACTCGTGAGATCACAAAATCTCTCGAGACTTTCGCCAACCTCCTCGTGAGACCATGAGATCCCATGAGACGTCAAAGGTTACGAGTTGTTTATGCAATCCGACATTAAACAAAAAAGAAGGAAATCACATTTTATTTCGCTGTTTGATGTCATATGTGATGTTTTTCCTCTCCACCGCCAGGAATGAAGCCATGAAAGCACACCACTCGACTTCTGGATCGATGCTGTGAGTAAATAAGCTGTCAGGTCGCACCTAAGCTTCATTATATATCAAATTGCATCGCTGCAATACTTTTACATTGAAAATTACCATGGATTTTACACTGAGACCATTTGTGATTTCCTGTCTAGCCCTATGTTAATTGTTGTAATTGACGCTCACAGAAAAAAAATAACCCGATCCTATCTTTAGCAGCGCGGCGTGTCGCTATGGGACGCATCTGAAAACCGCCGTATGGCGGCTGGTTTGTTACACTCCGTAGACTATAATGGATTCTCTTTGAAGCGGTGCCGTTTCGCTGCCGTTGCAGTAGGGTGTGCAGTAGGGGTTATATCTCTTTGCTAAACTGATGATCTAGTGGAATTCATTGCCATCGAGTGCCACCTAATGAACGTAACCTAGACAGGGCTGCCAACTTTTGAACTTTTAAATGCGTGAGCAGGTTGGGGGGGGTTGGGGGTGGACCGTTTTGCCCCTGAAAGCTTAAGGTTGGTTTATGCTTGACGCGTCCGCCAGGTTCGCACGGCAAAATTGCATCATTTTAACAACCACGCCCCTCCACCGTGCCTCCCCACAGCCCAAAATTTCCGCACCGCGCACCTAGGAAATTTTCTAACCTCGTGGACGGACGTGGAAAAACATGGCGGACTGGCAAGAACTAGTATGGCAGAGGTTCGTCAATACAGACATTTGTATGATTCAGCTCTCAAAGATCACGGTGATCAACATGTTGTTATTAATTCTTGGAGAGAAACAGCTCGCACTGTCGGAAAAGACGAGGACGCTGTTAAAAATAATGAAATGCCATGTTGTAAACAGTAGTTTCTACTTCTACTATCAGTGTTGGGAACGTTACTTTAAAAAAGTAATTAGTTATAGTTACTGATTACTTTGTCAAAAAAGTAACTCAGTTACTAACTGAGTTACAAGATCATAAAAGTAACTAATTACCAACAAAAGTAACTACTTAGTTACTTTTTTCATTAAAGAATGCAAGAATTACTACAATAGTAAAATATAAATGAGTAATGACTGAACATAATAAAATGTATGTCCAAATGTTTTATATAAACCTGAATAATTTAAACAAATAAGCACTTAACAGGAGGAACTACTAATAGGAACATTACACTAATCTAGACTATTAAAAGGTCACTGTGTGATATTTAACAAAAACCCAATCAGCTAAAATTTAAAATTGCAAATAGAAACACCTGTAAAGGTTCCCGAGCCTTTAAATGGTATCTCAGTCTAGTTAAATTACAGAAATAAATGTAATTTTGCACAGTATTCTAATTTTTCCAGCTTCACATAATTGTGTGTTTTTAGCAGCATTTCTGTTGCTGCTAATCTAGTAACGGTTAAATAAATAAATAAAATCCTTTAAAATGACACTAGAAGAGGCACAAATCTGATGGAGGACTTACATTTACTAACTTGGGTCAGACCCAACCACAGAAGAGCTGAAGCTGGGTGGTAAACACACACACAGTGTCTGAGACTGATGCATCAGTGTTACAGCGGGACTAAAGACATGATCACAAACAGGTTACAGCTGGATGATCTAGGAAGGTATAGAAGATCAGGACGTCTGAGCGGTGAACAGATGAGCGGACCTTCGGGACGTCCCGCTGTCACGCTAGGGCACGGCTGCAGACCCGCAGAGTCGCTGCTGCAGCAACAAATCTGCGGGGGGTCTGCAGCCGTAGATATTAATCACGTCTTCCTCGTTCTTCACGGGCCGTGATGCTCTTAAACATCTACCTCTTAAGCTCCTGATCAGCTGATGATGACAGCTTCAACACAACGCGCTGCTTCACGCACGCATTTTCTTATCAGTAACATGAACAACGTTTTGATAAAAGAAGACATAATTAATTAGTTTGCTCGTTACAGAAAGAAATATTTTTTATTAACGCGGTTATTTTAAACGGAGTTATTCCCGTTGTGTCTACAGAATGCAGCGACTGAGACCGTGAGGGTCTCCACCCACCCGGCCAATCATCATCGTGTTTGTAAGTGTGTTACCGACACCTCTCTCTCCCTGGCTGCAGCTGAAGTGTGGCGGTCAGAAAGCCTCACACTGTTGCTCAACGTTCTACAAGCACATAGTAACGCACAACGTTCCGTCCCTAGTAACGGTAACGGCGTTGCAACGGCGGGAAAAGTAATTAATTAGATTATTCCGTTACCTATAAAAGAACGCCGTTAGAAACGCCGTTATACTTAAACGGCGTTACTCCCAACACTGTCTACTATGGTGTAGTGTTGGATGCATGCTGTAGAGCTCCATGCTGCCCCCTACAGTTTGGGAGAATATTGGCTCACCGCAGAGACAAGCCGCACGAACCATAAACGCTGCGAGTTGTGAAGCGCGTTCCAGCCGCGAGCCGCATCACCAAGCGGAAAGTAAATGCGTCAAGCAAAAACCAAGCTTCACTGCGGGTGGGGTGGGAGGGGGGGGGGGTGGCTGATTCTTCAGTGTGACATATTGAAGGTGTGGTTTGAGAGCTGTGATGAGGGACAAATGCGAGTCTCATGCTCAATGCGTGAGTTGGCAGCCCCTACCCACGTGTCAGAAGTACAGTGCGGGAGCTGGAGAGACGTCATCACCAACCTGGATCATGTGAACGAAGTCTGCCTTCTTTGTCATCTTCTTCTGTTTCCAGTTCTCCTCAAACTCTGAGGCTGTCATCTTGTTCCAGGTGAACTTTGTGTAGTTTAATTCTGGTTTCTGAGACACTAAAACTTAAGACAAAAACACACCTAATAGGTTAATGTTGGTGATTTCTGCACAAAAATTATACAAATTTCTGAATCTTGGCTGTAGATGTCTAAAGCACATTTTCTGGCTTCGTGAAAGCAAAACTTTTTCTTTGATAACCCTTTATTTTCCACACTAGGAAATATGCTATGCTACGTTTCGCAACAAAATGGCTACATTGCAAAATTGCTACTCTACAAAAAATGCTGCTCATTAAAATCAAGGACTGATGGTGATCTGGCTGTGATGCTAATTGATTTGTAAGTAGTAATACTTTTGACCAACAGTGTGGTTCTTTTGACTTTGTGGCTTAGTAGTTGGCTCATGTTAGCGTTAGCCTGTAGCACTAGCAAAAGAAGGCTGCAGCCGAGTGGTAACTCCATTTTCAAAAAGTAGGGAGAAATGTTAAAACCTAATTTTAAGTGTGCCTTAAAATTATTTTACAATTTTTACTTTTTATAGAAAACAAACATTCAGCCGTATTTTGGAGTATGCAAGCAGGAAGTAACTTTGTCCCACATACCTTGATAGTGATGTAACTGTTGGCTGCTTGGCTCCACCACCTCGTTATCGATGGTCACTTCTGGGTGCTTCTTGTGGAGCTCTGAGAGCATTTCAAGGTCAATGTCACCTAAAGATAACAAGACAATTATTATAATTTGATCTCAAAAAACAAATTTGTTCCAATAAAATAAAATAAACACAATATATATTTACTGTATGGTCTGATATTCTTGTGACATAAAAATATAAACTCAGAGTCCAACCAGAAAGTGTTTAATACTTAATATTTTGGGTAACGTTTGGTTGCAGTGAGATGTTTTTGTTCTTCTTAAAGGGTAGGGTTAGGGTTACCTTAGGAGCCAGTTAGGAGCCTCGCTGCAGAGTTCTGGACCAACTGAAGGTGGTCAAGAGCTTTTTTGTTAAAACATGTGAAGAGTGTGTTACAGTAATATAGACGGGAGGAGATAAAGACATGGAGAACCATTTTAAGTTCATGTTTTGACACCAACCTTCGCAGTTTGGAGATATTTCTTAAGTGATAAAAACAGTTTTGGACCAATATTTTTGAGTGACCTTCAACAGACATTGATTGGTCAAAAACACCCCCGAATTCCTTGAGTTTGTCTTGACGGCAGAGGATAAATGACCAAGTTGACTAATCAGGGGAACCATGCTCTCAGGGACAACGATCAGACATTCAGTCTTTTCAGAGTTTAACTGAAGGAAGTTATCTTCTAGACCAGCGGTACCGGCAGTCCAAGTGAAACGTAGAGGAGACTGGTGACGAGACACATCCCTCCCAATCCCCGGTCCGACAATCCAGCACCAACCCCCTTCCATTTTTTGCAGCAGGTATAAAAGAAACCCTCAAAGGTGTCAGTTATAGGTTAATCATTAACACTCCCTGCAGAGAGCACCAAGCTATTTACGCTGCACATAAGAGACAGTTTGTGTTCATACCTGCTCCACTTCCAACCTCAATCACATTTAGATGGGACTTTCCATCTCCAATGCTGAAGGGAAAGCAGAAAAAACGTCTTGAGAGCAATAAAAGCCTCGAAATCCACAGGCTCCATCCTGCCGGTCATATTTGTTCAGGCCTGTAACTGACATTCCTCCACCCTGAGACCTGGGAATGCTCATGTAGGCCTATCAGAACGTTAGACTATAATAATAATAATATTATTATTATTATTATTATTATTATTATTATTATTATTATTATGCATTTTGCACAAATAAAAAAATCAGACTGACTAAGTTTGGTGTAAATCTTCAAATGACTGGTTATTTTAAAATGACAAGATGTGCTGCTCAGCAGCCGCTACACTTCCTGTGGGTCTTCATGAAGCTCAACCTGGACTCCAACCTGCTACTGACCTTCTACCACTCATCCATTGAGAGCTTGCTGACCTACTGCATCACAGTATGGTATGGCAGCTGCACCATGGCAGACAGGGAGAGGCGTCAGAGGGTTGTAAAGGCAGCACAGAGGATAAATCGGCAGCCTCCTACCCTCCCTGATGGATTTTTCCACCTCCCACTGCCTCAGCACAGCAAAAATACCTAATCAAGAACAGCTCCAACCCTGGCTGTGACCTGCTGCCGAGGAGGCACTACGGGTGCATCACAACCAGGCTCAAGAACAGTTTTAACCCAAAAGGCATAACCACCATATGCACAGACACAAGCCAACCTTGGGCTCCCCTCTGCCCATCAATCTGCAGTATCCAATATCTATATGGCATTGTTGTAATATCCAATATCTATACAGAGCAACTTTGCACCACTTGTTCATTGTTTTTAATTGTTTATTATGTGTTTAACTGCACTGAAGGAGCTGCTTTTAATCTCTTTGTACTTGTGTAATATGACAGTCAAAGGCGTTATTTTCTATTCTAAAATGCACTTTTATGTGCAATATACTAACTTATCATTTTAACTGGTCTTTTCCTCAGATACTACTACGTTTGTAACGTCATCATCATAACTGTAAAGTCAGCGTTATTCTGATGATCCCACACCATAATCCAAAGTTAGGTTATGGAAAATCAAACGTTTTACCTATCAGTGTCATACAGGTCAAAGTCATCTGCTATGTGGCAGATCAGGTTTCTCCAGCTATGGACTCTATAGAACCATCTTTTGTTGTAGTAACAGTAAAAAGGTAAAATATTACGCCTATATTGTGGTTTGAGTCAGATTTCATCAGGTTACTGCTGAAGCTCCAACAGGTGTGGTTACCTGGCCAGGATGTGTGGCAGCTTGTTGTGGATGAAGTCCTTCATACACTGATGCTCTGAGGAGCGCTCCAGGAAGAGCTGGAAGGACTTCTGGTACCTGTCATCATCATGAACCAGACTCATCAGAGGGGAAGCCATGATGGGTTCAAACCTGTCTGGGCAATAAAAAATAAATCTATGGATTTTATTCGGATTCATCTCTTCGTATTCATGGTGCTGATCACGTTTCCTGTCGGCTCCCACCGGAACTCCCCTCAGCGGCGCTGCAGCTGAGCGCCTTTGTGGCGAATCCGCGCAAAGATGACAGATGCATTTGCACATTTAAAACAGCACCAAGCTTCAACAAAAGCGGAATCAGGAACGCCGCAGGCGTGCTGGCTGCGTCGTGTCCCGCAGCTGCTCAGAAAACTGGACGAATCTTTTATCTAACGTTCGCGTGTTTGAGCAGCTGAGCGCTCAAATGAAGAATAGAAAAAGTAAACAAAAGAAGCAAAGAGGATTACTTACAGTCGCACCGGTAAGGGGGGTGAACGTTGAGGTTGAGCACTCCCACTTTTCCCGCAGTTTTCCAGAAAAACACTGCGCTATAAATCAGGCCCTTAATTCCGTTTCACGCCCCTACTTTTGCGCACCGCTGTTGGGTTCCGCACCGCCCAAGCGTCAGAAAACGCGTGCGCTCTTTACCAACGTGGAAAGGACAATTACAACTCATTTTCAACTCTCTGAGCATCTTTATTCTGCTTTAATTCAAAGAATACAAAACTTAAGCTCTTCAGACCTAGACTAGATCATTCTAACAGCAGAACCTGAATGCCAGCTGGGGGAGTTTTTAATCATTTATTTCCTTTTTGAAAGCCCAAGAAGGCAGATTCCAGCACTTGTTGCATCTAAACCACCAGAACAGGCTCAGCTCAAAACTAGTGATTTGTAATTGTAATCTCAGAATGCTGACCTGACTTTACTGGCCCTCAGGTTTCTTGAGCAAAACGTCCCTGAACTAGTTGGTTTATGCCTGCCTGTCCACTTCTTCTGACCAAACCACACACCCACTTCACTCCGCTCCTCTTCTATCTTCACTGGCTGCCAGTCAACTTCAGGGTTCAATTCAAGATCCTGGCTCTGATCTTCAGGGCCTTACATGGACAAGCACCATCTTAAATCAGTGATCTTCTCAGTCCCTACACTCCCAGCAGGTCCCTGAGTTCCAGTGACCAAAGCCTAATGGTTGTGCATGCAGCACAACAGGCTAAAGACCAAAGGTGACAGATCATTTGCTGCTGTGGCCTCCAGACTCTGGACCTCGTTGTTCACATTCTCCAAATTTTAAGATATTTTTAACCCTCTGGAGGCAGGCGTTGCAGATTTGCAACGTTAAAGCCTACCTGGTTACACCATATACGTATTTCATGAGCATTTTTTAACTCGGAAGCACCCCTGAAGGACTTGGTTGTTCGTCCTTTAATCAAAACTTATTTTGAGCCTGAGAGGGTCGAATCATTTTTAAAATCTTCTTTTTTTATTTTTAATGTTTGTTCTTGTGAAGCGCCTTCTGCTTTTTATCTTGATCTATATAAAAGATAATTTCTTCTTCTTCCTTCTGTCAGACCATACAGAACACACTGTTCTTTTTACTGAGGTTAACAAACACAAGATAAAATTAACTTCTTTTCATATAATATGGAATGTCAAGCAGCCCATCTGAAATAGAAATGCTGATCCAATAAGGAAAGACTACGCCGTTCAGTGGGCGGGGCTTAGAATAGATATTTAAAGGTACAATATATAAAAATTTGACAGTGAAATAATTACGAAACAGTCTCATGTCTCAGTCATGCTGGATGGAAGGTTACAATGAAACAGATTTCATTTTCAGCCGGTTGGAGGGTTGTCAGTTTTTCTCCTTTCAAATTGACCAAAAAGAGGCGGGATCTTTGTTTACAGTACGCAAGCTCATGTGGTTGCCGAGTCATTTGGAATTCGACAGCGACCGGCAGAACGAGCATGTTTTTGGAAGGAACATAATCCAGTTAACAGGAGTGACCCTGAAGTTATTTCTTGTACCCCTAAATGCTAGTTTATAGTTCTCTGTCTTATTAACACAATGTTTATGACTCATCTTCACTCACCTACTCACCTACAGTCCTGTGGTGCTGATCTGTAGCTAGCAACAGCCATGAAACTCATGGAACGGTAGCGAGAAAGTGACGACTGTGTTTAGAAAATTTGCCGCAGAAACCAGATTTGACCACAGGATGTCATTCTAATTGCATTCATTCTTAAAGCAACTTTAAGATGATGTGAGCCAAAACAAGTGACTTTTTTGGACTTCCATATTTGAGGGTTTTCAAAGGGTCAGTAAAATTGAAACTTCTGATTGATAGTCGTTAACTGTAATAAAGTTAAAGTAACTGGAACAAGTTGTGTACCAGACAACCCTCCTTTATAGAGGGCCTAAGTCATGCCCATCTACTTCTTGACCACGGCTCCCCAGAAGAACAAAAATATAAATACAAGTCAATGAGACAAAACATGCTATTTATAATTCCACTTGTTATGGACCAGGACATGCCATTCAAATCCCAGGTTAACCAGGTTTGTAGGGTTTCCTTTTTCCACCTTCGGAATATTGCTAAGATTAGAAGCATCCTTTCCAGGGGTGATGCTGAAAAACTAGTTCATGCATTTATTACATCAAGACTGGATTACTGTAATTCATTACTCTCAGGAATTCCACAGAATGTAGTTAAAAGTCTTCAGCTTGTCCAAAATGCTGTAGCTAGAGTTCTGATGAGAATTAAAAAGAGAGATCATATCTCTCCTGTCTTAGCTTCCCTACATTGGCTACCTGTTAAATTCAGAATAGATTTCAAGATCCTTCTTCTCACATATAAAGCTCTTAATAATCAAGCTCCATCATACATCAGTGATCTGATTGTTCCATACGTTCCTAACCGAGCACTTCGCTCTCAGACTGCAGGTCTACTGGTGGTTCCCAGAATATCTAAAATTAGGATGGGAGGCAGATCTTTTAGTTATCAGGCTCCTCTCCTGTGGAACCAGCTCCCAGCCTTAGTCCATGAGGCAGACACTTTGTCTACATTTAAGACTAGGCTTAAAACATTTTTTATTTGATAGGGCCTATGGTTAAAATCTGATGTTAGCCTAAATCTGGACAAGTGGGGGAGTAGAGGGAGGTGGAGTGTACTGTCGGCAAAGACGGCTCTCCCTTGTCCTGACTCCAACATGCCTCCATCTAAATAGGATAGGAGTTATCTCTGTAGTTATGCTGCTATAGGCTTGGACTGCTGGAGGATACACTGACCACTTTTCACACTCTACTACTTTCTTCTACAGTCTGCTCTTTAACTGTATTATTTTCTGCAATTTCAGCTGGTAACTTTATTTTCTCTGTAAGTGTTTGTCTCCCCAGAAGAAGCTACAATGATGTTCTGCTTAGCTGTGGTGGCCTCATGGAGGGGGCCATCGTCTAGCACACTGCTGCTAACCACTAAAACATTCTCCCTCTCCTGATAATAACTTTTTGCTTTCCTTGACGTTGGACGTGCTAATACTAGTTTATCCGTTTAATTATAGATCCACTAGGATAAATACAATAAAGTTTATCTCTCACCAAATATAATATTTACTAAGAAATCACAATATAACTATAGACACATTACTTGTCTTTGTGTGTGTGTGTGTGTGCGTGTGTGTGTGTGTGTGTGTGTGTGTGTGTGTGTGTGTGTGTGTGTGTGTGTGTGTGTGTGTGTGCGTGCGTGCGTGTGTGTGTGTGTGCCTGCTCTGTCTTCTCGATCCCCAGTGAGTCGTGGTGGATGGCTGCTTATACTGAGCCAGGATCCTCTGGAGGTTTCTTCCTGTTAAAAGGGAGTTTTCCTCTCCACTGTCGCTGCATGCTTGCTTAGTATGAGGATTGCTGTATAGTCACTGACACTAGTCAGTGACTTGATGCAATTTGCTGGGTTCCTTATATAGGAAACATTATTTCTGATTGGCTTAATGAACTGACCTGAATTGGAATGTTTATTATGTGAAGTGCCTTGAGACGACTCTTGTCGTGATTTGGCGCTATTTAAATAAACTTGAATTGAATTGAATTGAATTATGTTCCACGGATTTCACGTATGATATCCGTGAATTTTAAGTATGAATTTTGATGCCAAGAACGTGCTTACTTTCGAATGGGGAGAAAGTTATTTTAGGTTTTGTGTGAAAATAAGTCCAGGACTACAAATGCGCCTGACGAAAGTGACAACATCGATCCAGACATGGAGAAAAACAGAGGGGAAATGGCGGTAAGTTCAGCAAACTCCAAATCCTCCCTTCAGGAGGAAAGAACCACCATAAATCTGGCCATGTGGTAAGTAGCAGCTACGCTAGGGGAGAGGAGATTATGTGTTTACGTCACACTGTATGTGCGACGTACCGATGTCTGACTTGTAGTCATGTATGGAGCTAGGATGGGGACAATATTCAGCGTAACTTGTACCAAGTTTTGTAACTTTGAACATGTTTCATCACATGTAACTTTGGATTCGTATCTTGTAACTTTAGTTTTCTAACTTGTAATTCTCAATTCGTACTTGTATTTCTTGTTTTGTAACAGGAAATTTTCATTTTGTACATGTATTTTTTGTTTTGTAAAATCAAACTTTTATTTCTTACATTTACTACTCATTTTGTATATCAAACATTCATTCAGAAACATGAAGCTTTCGTTTTGTAACTAGCAGACTTCCAAATTGAAAAAATTAAGGTACAAGTTTGAAATCAAAACTCTCAAAACACACATTTCATTCTACAGGTACAAACCTCACATCTACAGTGTTACAGATCTTTTTGTCTCGATTCTAGCGTCAGTGGGAGGAACTTGGGTGGAACCAATGAGTGCACAAGTCTTAGCTACCAATCACGTTTCTCGAATTCCTGTCCAATCGTTGGGAGAGGAGGGCAGGGTTCTGTCAGAGCTGTAGAGAGAGTTACGACACGGAATGCGGGAGTCACATGGTTCATGTAGCTTTGAATAGTTCCAAACGGCCCCCGCTGCTGCATTGACCGCAGTTCATTTTCGGTGTTTCGGAAGGATTTTCTCCGGTAAGTTGATGAAATGTCATCATTTTGTTGCATTGTGAAGCGTTAGCTAACCGCTTCGTACCAAAATAAGCCAACGATGATATTTTATGTTGCCAGTTTCAGCTAGATAACCTTTAATGAGCTAACTGTGAGCAGGAGGACGAGCTGTAGACAGGTTATTTCAGTTTGTTTGATTCTATGTTTTAAAAATATTCCCCAAAGTGTGACATAGGTTATAAACTTTTTACATTATTAGTTTTATTTGGGATTTTTTGTACAATACGTTGCTGGTTGCTGAATCAACACGAACATGCATCAGAAATGGAAGCACAAATGGAGAGACCAATAATAAAGAAAATGTGATTGTGAAGACAAGTAATTATTTAATATTTTTCTGTTAATATCACTGACTGCAGCGAACTGCTGAAGCATGAGACAAACAGGATTACGAACGTAAGAAGATATGTTGCTCTGTTTTGTGGACTCAAGTAATAAGAATGAAATTACGATATTTCAAGAATAATAGTCGAACACAATAACTTTTAAAAATTAGACATTTTCCATAAAACTGCTCATTTCCACTTGCTTTATAATATTAGCATTCACAATTTCGTTAAGGAATGATAAGAAATAAGAATTAACAATAACACAATTATCAATAAATAAATGTCAAAGAGAACTAAAACAAAAATCTTATGTAACCATTAAAGGTTAAACTGTGTTGTGTCCATCTTCATGTTTTCATAGTGGCTGAGCGGAGAGCTGGCCAGGAACAACGGCGGTGGCAAAACCCAGTTGGGTCTGTGATGGAGTGATGCACGCCTGGAGTGATTGCCATCTCATCCACAGTAAGCACACACTCTCTTTCCATCTCTGTCAGATTTTTAACCTTCAAACTGAGCATGTCACACACCTCTCCTAACACACCTGGTTCCAGTTAATGGGCTGCATTTGTCTTTGCAGGGTTCTAACATCAGGCAGAGGGATACTCGTCTCCTGAAGAAACCTGCAGCCTGTTGAACCCACTGAAAAATGGAGTTGTACGGCCTTTTTGATTGTTTACTCCATTTAATGCCTCTTGTGTTTTTCATGCCTTTTTGACTTTCTAT